GGCTGAGCCCACCGGGAGCCTGCAGCACAGCAGCTCTGTGCAGTGCCTGCCCCAGCCCTGGCCCCTTGAGGGCAGCTGCAGGTGGGCAAGGCCAGGACCTGGGCAAGCTGAGGCAGCTGCAGTGGCTGTTCCCAGGCTCCAGGAGGCTCCTGCGGCCAGGCCTCTGCACTGGGGACAGCTCTGCCCTGCCTGCACTGTGCCCAGTGTGCAGGGAGGTCGATCCTGGAGAGAGAAGCCCCCCGAGCCCAGCGTCCTGCCCCAGCCAGGCAGCATCCCCACGTGTGCAGGGTGACTGCGGCCCATCCCTGAGGAGCTGTGCGGGCTGTCCATGCCCCACCACAGGTGCTGCTGGGCACCCCCGCCTGCCTGCCTGCCCACCGCAGCTTGAGCCCGCAGAGCCCCAGCACAGCCCTCACTTCCCACCCAGCCCCCGCCTTCCTAAGGGCCCGACCGGGCTGGCTTGCCCGCAGTGCCTCCCCCCACGCCGCCTAGCCCCTGTCCCAACCGCCCAGCCCCAGCACTGGGGACCTCAGTGCTGCCCTGCATGGGACAGGGCATCTGCCTGCCTGGGCAGCTCCCTCCAGGGTGCAGCCTGGGAGCAAGGGGCAGGGGCAGTAGAGCACAGACAGCCTCCCTGCCTGTGTTCTTCCAGCTCTGTCCCGGGGCCTGCCGCGGCACTGCGACTTGTGGCTGCACAGGAGAGCCTGGAGCAGCAACTTAAAAAAAAAATTTAAAAAACCCCAATTTTTTTGCATGCCTCCCGCGGGGCATGCCAGGAAAAGTGTCTCCGTGTGCCACTAATGGCACGCGTGCTGGGGGTTGCCAACCCCTGCCTTAGCCAGACACTTTTACATAGTATTCACAGTCCTTGAGATTTTTAATATGTACAATCAATGTAACCTTGAGGCAGAATAGTAGCATGGTTGTTATCACTCTTTTTCTGTCACCTGATCATGAGGCTGTAATGCTAAGACACTTAAAACAGTGATATTAACCTTGAACAACAGGGTGCTGCAGGGTGCCATATAATATTAGCACTGTTAGGTGTGCAGACATGAATCACAATATAAACCTAGTTTTTTAATAGGAATCCATAGTGTTAATAATATCCTGGCCTATTGTGGCATTTTTGAGTTCTTTGCAACAGAAGAATTGCTCTATCATTTTTCTGTTGTCAAAAAAAGAGTGAAAACTAAGAGCTGGCATTTTCCGAGGGATGACGCGAGTCTAAAAAGGTTGAGAACCACTTAGCTAGGCGTTTGCTTCCGTATCAAATGGAATCGCAGAGACAATAGCCACATCGTCATGTTCCACTCCGTTTTTCATCATTCCATTTCATCGCTGAGTGGCAGTGTCACAGCCAGCGCCCCATTTGTGGTACAGTTATGCAACTGCATAAGTGTTTTGCAGGATGAACGTTTGTTTAAAGTTAAGTCCCCTTCTGTAACTAGGAAGATATCCTTCAGAATGCAAGTCTAGTATCAACCAAGGCAGTGATGTCTGCCATAGCATGCAAGCCAGCCTAAAACCATGGCTCAGGGGAGACCTGCCTGGTGCATTTCAGTGAGGTGTTAACAGTGAATTAATATTAACTGTTCCGTCACTTCTGGCTGCAGTGGTAGATTTTCCTGGGGATTAACAGTGATGGTTGGTTGTTGTTAGGGGTGGTGGGGCGGGAAAAGAATTCAACTCCACCCCCTTCCTTATCACAGCCAGAAGTGAGAAGGAGATTTGTGGTGCCCCAAATCTCAACTGATTCCCAAAATAATCTTCCCCTGGCTTTCTGGGTATAAAAAGTCCCCAGCAACCTGACCTCCCGCTTTCTCCTGACAGCCATGAAGTTAATTGTTCTGTATAAAAACCTGCTACACATTGAAAGCACAGACTTTGGAGATGGACTGAAGTAAAACAAGTGTAACACTGAAATAAAGAGCACAAGATCAGCCTCGGGAAAGACTAGGGCCTCTGGGATGCCATGTAAATCTATGCTGCGTGGCAGACACGTGAGATCTAATGTGTAGCATAAGACATGGGGCCTTGGCCATAACTTTCAGGCAGAACAACAAGATTCTGCATTATCTTCCTCCGTTTACATCCCCGATTGCCATGTGTCTGCCCTTCATGACAGCAGAGCAGAAGGAGGAGTTCAGGCATTCTTGTCTGCCACAAGAGATCTCTGTGGTTTTGTCCTTTCCACATGTGTGTGGGAGGGAGAGAAACTCAGACTGCCACACTAGAAAGCTGTTTGCCCCACATCACACATTAAATAGTATCTGATAGGAGTCAAATGTGAAATATCATATTAAGCATATGCCTGAAAGAACCTGTTAGGCATCTGACAAAATCCCATCCCAGAGCTACAATGATCATCACTGATATAAATATATGGGTTTATCCAGGTCTGATTGTCATGGGCTTTGACTTGCATTAAAACAGGTGTAGGACAGGCAGCCTGGTTTAATACTCAAATTAACCCTCCTCCCAACCCCCCCTCCAATGTCATGGGGTGGGGGGGAGGAGGAGGAATGTTATCTTAGATATTTCAAAGTTACTCAAAGTGGGACAATGGGCTTGTACTTCTGTAGGATCCCAGAATAAAAGGCTTTGTCCCAGGAGATATCTGGCATCTGTTTTTAGCCAAAGTTTCTCACCTTGAACATCATGATACTGAGTTTTCCAAAGATCAAAATTCTGTACTGTTGCCAAAAGCCTTTCTTAAATTAATGACTCTCCATTCCTGATGACAGCTACACATGCAGACTGTTTGGGGGGTGTTTTGAATGAGAATTTTGAAGTGATCACTTTTAAAAAAGAAAACCTTGCTAGATATGATATATAGTGTATGATCTATCCAATCCTGCACAGCATACTATGCCATGGAAATATTTCAGTCATTGCTTGACAAAGGCAGCAAAAACTCATTTTGTATATGTAAGCTCTGGCTGTAAAACTGGAATAAGCAGGTCCCATAAATCGTTTGCATTAGATGTCTCCACAGTAGGTGGGATAGAAGAGCCAGGCACTGCTCTGCTTCCATTATGGATGTATGGAGTGCTCCAAAATGAACTCTTTATTGCAGTCGGTTTTTCCCACCATCCCAGCACGTACAGCATGACGTTCTGAATTTGGTTTCTTTTGTGGTTGTTTTTAAAAGTGTTTCCTTGTTGTGGTTTTGCTCACGCAAAAAAGATGCACTGACCAAATGATGTTCAATCAAGAGGCCATTCAAAATATACAACTGTAAAGGTGGTCAGGGTTTACTTGACTGTGTAGTTGAAGGGGAATTTTAGCCACAGTTTGGCCATGGAGCAGAACTGTGCATTTCATAATATTAAAACAGAGATTACAGATGGTGAAATTCATTCACAGATGTCTGAGACTTTTGAATAGACTAGCCCAGTGCACCTATTCATGTCTCAGATACTCAGATAAAAAAAAAAAGTTTTGCTTGTAGTGATGTTCAGTACGTTCAATTTGATTTTTCAGTACATTTATTTTCAGGCTTTAACCAAGAATTATCTAGTCATTAAATACAATGGAGTTTCAGGCAGAAGCAGATGTAGTTCAAAGATTAGGTCATCCAGCTGGGAATAGAAATACTCCATGGGCACCTATACACATGCTCAACCCCTGCTCTGACACCTTCTAATTAGAACACATTGGGAGTAGACTCAATTAACTGAGTCTGCTGTAGCATGTTAATTAGCATGCTCCATCAGCCTCAGCTTTACATGTATTCAGCCTCCCCGCTCTTCAAACGCTGGCAGGAATGCTTCAACTAAAGCTCATCAAACGCACTTTAAAGCACCCCCACTACCATTTTGAAGTGCAGGACACTAAATACCCGAGAGGCTGCTGGCACTTTAATTAGAGCGGCTTCTGAGAGCCAATGTAATTAAAGCGCCATCTCGCCCGCCCCAGAGCACTTGTAAAGATGCCCCATGTGACACAGAAGACCAAGCACACAAGCCTGAGTAATCACAAATAATAATATTTATGGCAAATGGTTAGCAAGAAATTCATAACTTAACATTTACTTGCACAGCAAAATCTATTCTGATCATTTCAAATAAATTTATATGACACACACTTTAGTACACAATTTGTAGACAGGAAAAATATCGAAATTTGCAAGATTTTTGCTACTTCCTTTCCATTCATCTGGAAACCATGGTGAAGACAAACTGTCTGTATTTGACTTATTTAAATTTATTTTCTTGTCTAAAACATTTTCCTACCTCTAATACTTATTTTTTATGATTTCATGATTGTAAACCCACTGCAAATTGTAATACTTAAATATATCACATTCAGCTTGAAGAGTCCTTAGTACTGAGTATAGCACTGCCTTTGTACCAGCTGATCAGCTCTAATACTAGTATGCTTTGTGCTGAAGAAGAATTCTCTGATTGTTGTTTTTGCAGAGGTTTTTTGGTCAATTCTTATTATTCATCCAAGACAACTTGATGGAGTTAGCTATAAATGCTGTGTACATGTTCTTTCCTTGCTTCATGCCCCAGAGTGAGATTTTAGTCTTGCTGCACTGCACTTCCAGTGTTGTTTTCTCTTCATAGATCTTCCCAAATGAGGGAAACCTGTTCTTGAATTGTACAGAAGAAGAGCTTTACTAAAACAAGGTTATAGTCTTTTAGTGTATTGTCTTGGCTCTGGCATAAGGTTTACTGCAAGGTAAATTGTCTAACACAAGGGAGACTTACCTCTGAGCTCAGCAGTTTGTCAGTCTCTTTGGGAAAGCAGAAACACAAAGCTGTGCTCGGAAGACCGGCCAGTTGTGACTTTCTTTCAAGCATTCCACTAGTTTGGACAAACATGCAAACACAGTCCAGCCTCGCTGCAGTACTTTGATGTATACCTTTCTTCAGGCATCCCCACCTCTTTGACATATGTGTTATTTATGCTTAGGAATATCTCATAATGAGTATTAGAGTTGATTTGGCAGAATAGAAGAAGTTTAATAGAGTTTTTGTGTTTCTTTTCAGGTGGGTTCATCAGCTTCAATGGCTCCTGGCGTGTTCAGGGGATCCTGGCCATGTCCCGCTCCTTAGGAGATTATCCTCTGAAAAATCTCAATGTTGTTATCCCTGATCCAGATATCCTGACCTTTGATTTGGACAAGCTACAGCCAGAGTTCATGATCTTGGCATCGGATGGCCTGTGGGATGCATTCAGCAATGAAGAGGCTGTCCGATTCATCAAGGAACGCTTGGATGAGCCCCATTTCGGTGCCAAGAGTATAGTTCTACAGTCATTTTACAGAGGATGTCCTGATAACATAACAGTTATGGTGGTGAAGTTCAGAAATAGCAGCAAAACAGAAGAACAGTGAACTCACAACAGTTCTTTGCTTCTTCTCCGATAAACTTAAAACAAACTCTTACATTTTAATGTAGTAGAAAGTTCTAGTAATTATCATTAGGATTTTATGCAGAAGGGATAGGAAAGACCCTTCTGGTTTCTGTTCTTTGCTGAACAAAAGGAGCAATACAATACAGCAGATATGTTTTGAATTATATGAATTAAGTTTTTCACATCTTCCTGCTTCCCATGACCTGTTGCTTCTGAGAAATGAATTGTAATCTGTTCCAAGGGTTAAAAATTCCTGCTTAGGTTTTGTCAAATACAAACCATTTCTTAACTTTAATTTTAATAGCTGAAGCTGCATTCAGATTGGCACTGTGGGGGCAGGCAGTGCTGCTTCTGCTCCAATAGCGATAGGAATTAGACTGCTTTTCACCCATAGACGTAACTGCCTTCAGAGTGTCATTCTCTCTAGTGCTTCCAGTCTCTGTTTTTCTAACCTGCAGTGATGGTAGAGCGTTAGCTTGGAGAGGATTTCTAATTAGTAGTCTGTCTTTCATATGAAGAAAAAAAAAGAGCCAAACATTAGCCTGTCAGCACAGAACAGGCCCACCCTGCTCATTTTTTCCATAGTTAAATATACCCTTTCTATCACGTGACTAGGTACAAGCTATTGAACTTCCTGCACCCACATGTTTATGCGGGCTGCAGATGACTTTAATAACACTTCACCTATGTCATCCTGTATTCACACCAGCAGATGCTAAACTCCATCAAACTACTCTGTGGACTAATGCCTCCACTATTCAGGAAACTAGCTCTTTCATTGTAGAAGAATGCCAAACACCCCTGGCTTCTATTTATTTTTATTTTTTTTACTATTTTTCATAAGTCAGAAGAGAAAATAAGGCAAGACGATTTCAGTATAGCTTAAGATGGGAATATCTTTAGTCAATGTTGGAAAAACCAGGGAAGGCAGCGTGTTTCATGGCATTGGGTGAAGTATGCTCTTGCTGCAAACAATTTTTCAGTAATATCCATCAGTTCAAAATTCATCAAGGAGACTTATATGTGACTTAGTGTTCAACCTCATATGCTGTAGCTGTACCGTAAATTATTGGGGCTAGGAGGGAAACAATCTCTAAATGGGAATTTTTTTTCCTATGTCTGATTTCAAAATGAAATTGTAAATTGAAATCTAACTAATGTAAACTTCATTATAGGTAATGACCTTCCAAATCTGATCTAGATCGGGTCATTTTTATGTATTATCCAATTGCTTCATCATCTAGCAATCTGGAGGCAGTAGTAGTGAAGAGAGTATTGGTAGTGTATGGCAGTACACCAGAGCTGGAGCCTGAAGTAGCTGTTGGTCTGCATGTATTAAAGACTTTTGGTGGGGCAGGGGACAAGGGGGCAGAGGAGAAACTATAGTTGCTTGGCTGGGTTACCTGTAAGTGTGATTTTACACTGCATTGTATTAAGATATGATATGGGGACTCCTTTCACCAATGACTTCATTCTGGGCAAGCCCCTGAGATTCCCCCTCCGCAGGACCCGACAAGGTGTGCTCAGCATTTGGTGTCCAGACCCTAGTCAGTGACATTATTATGTTAATTAACATCTCTGTTTCTTTGGCAAAAGTATAGGTCTACTTAGTCTGCAAGCTCTCTTGGTCTCACCATTATCCACAGACAGAGGAGGGCAGACTCTGAGTAAGTGCCTTACTTGTCCCTGAGACAGTAGCTTCATTGAGGGTTCTGCTGCGCAGGTTTCGGTCAGTAACAGCAAAAAACTGGTTTTTTGCTGCACCTCTAAAGGAATAGCTGCCAAGTTCCCCTAAATTATCCCTTTCTTAAAACCTTAGAATTTAAGACGCAAGAGAATCTAATTAATCTAATACCATCATGTATGTAAAGGCAGATTTCAGTTGTTGACACCCAATCCTGTTCTGGGCCAGTGCCCTTAAACTGTTCAGCTGGTTAACCTGTAAGGTTTTTTTTTATCCTAAACATGCTGTGAAGGGTCCTTCCAGGTCAGCCTCTCTTCCTTCTGCCTTGAGACTGCCAAAACAGGGCTAGGTTGAAGGCTGGTTATCTAGCACACTCAGAACAGGTAAATCCACTTTCTTGCCGTACCATTTGTGCTGGCAGTAATTGTCCCCACTCCAGGACTTTCACATTCTCTAGTCCATCTGGCTACTTACTCAGACTGTCCAGCACAGATGTTGTGTACCAGTATAAACCAGTTAGGGTTTATGATTTCCAAGTTCAGTCTAGTTTGCACAATTGGTACACATACCTTCTAGCAGCTTGCTTCCACCTGGAACACCAGATTTTCTTTGTAAATAATAAGTGTGCAGTACAACCATTGGAAAAGTATGCATCCAGCTTCATATAGTATATTGGGACCTAGTCCAGATGGTTATTTCACTGAAAGGTTTAATTACAACATCTAACTATTCTGCAAAGGAAAAAATAATTTAATTCAGTGGATTGTTAATTGTAGCTTTACAGTCAGGTTGAGGTGTAGTAAGTGACTGCAGTAAAATCCAGTTAAATTTCCCTTAAAGGTTTTCCAGGCTAGAGCACTGTGAAATGATGCAAGAGTGGTGTTGGGGTTTCACGACGGTGATTTTCAGTGTGGAAACCTCTACATTGGTAGAGCAGCAGTTTGCAAACTATAGCTCAGGGAGCATTTGCTGGTCACAGGGTGCTGCCTTTGCTTTCCCCTTTACAGCTGCTGTGACAGGCGTAACGCTCTTCCTTGTAAGAAAGGGTTTGGCTGCTTGTAGAAACAGCTGTTTTGGGAGAAGTATGTCGTATCTAGAAGTTTGCTAAAGGACAACTGTAGGGAAAGCTGGATTTTCTCAGCCTATAACTACACTTCTGCTGTAACAAATCTGCATACTGAAGACAAGAGGGGAAGTCTCTCACATGCATATTTAGAGAGCTGGGACTGGGACCCAGACTTGTTGCATATTGTTTTTTATCACTTGAGGTAGAGTAGATCGCGTATAGTTGGTATGAAGCCCCACTTTAGAGACCGACCAGTAGAGGGCAAAAGAGCTCAAGCAAATATACCTTGGAGCCGAGCTCTGCAGCAGTGCACTGCCTGCTCTGCAGTGCCCAGAGCTGTGTTCGGAGCCCAGGGAAAGGAAACTTACTGTACATGCACAGATTCACCAAGTACCAGAGTTTGCCATAGGGAGGTTGCAGGATGATGACTGGGAGGCAAGTTGGAGAATCTGCCAGACCGACCACCTGTTGCTCTACCAATGGGCCAGGCTTTGAGAAGCCTCCTAGTGGAGTACAGGACAGCTTTGCAGGTGGTAGCCACATGGATCCTCATTCTCAGCTAAAACTGTAGCCTGTCCTCACAGATAGGCTTCTAGTGCAATCAGTGGGGCCCAAGGTATATATTACAATGGTTTCTTGTCTCCTTCCAGGGACTGTTCTCAGTAAGGTGAAAGCCATCTACTTATTGTAAGTGTATGTTCTCCTTTAGCACATGTGGAAGAAACGGCCATTTTAATGATGAAATTCTCCCTAGTGCAGAGGTCCTGTCCAAGGCCAGTGCAAGCCCACAGCACAGAAGTGATTCGCATGGTAGGGAGGAAGTGGATCGGTGTCCACTGACTCTGCTTCTTGCACGCATGTATCCAGGGCTTGCTATGAGAACCCCAAGGAATTAATTCAGCTGCCAAAAAAAAGGGTTTGAGGAACTGTTTTGCATCAAGAGCGGAGTCATTGTTTTGTTCTGCATCCCTGTGCCCCAGCGTGCTTTTTTCTAGCATCAGTGAATGCATTTGAAGCAACGTAACTTAATGTTTGGTATCTGTGCAACTTGTTCAGGCCACTGTGGTCATGCATGGAAAAATACAGGTTTTGCAGCCAGTCTCAGGGGCAGCAGCATCTGTTGCTTCATTTTGCACATCATCTCTTTTTTTTGTAACATGCAGTGTTGATAGGCGAGATGTGCTTACTCCACTTCAGTGCAGGGGGATGGACTGGCTGAGATCTTGTGGTCCTTTCCAGCCCCACATGTCTACAGCTAAGCATAAAAGTTAAAATGAGAAGTACCTGGGCATTAAAATGCTAGGGAAAAGAACCAACTTACAAAAAGCATTAAAAGGGGAGGGATGGGTCCAACTCCTTTGGACACCAGTGAATGATTGGCTGTTGATTTCAGCAGAGATGAGATTAGTCCTAGAAGCAGTTAGGTTATTGTTCATATACTGATTATATCTGTTGTTATGGGACCCTAGTAGTGATAGATTTGTGATTCAGTGTTCAATCTATAGCAAAGCAGAACAACGATGTTGAATCAGAAGTTAGTCGTACTTCTCTTTCAATGAATTGAGCCAGCTTGAAGGTAATAATGGGTTTGCTAAATCACAGCTAACTCTGCATTATAGAAGTACAAGGGTTGCCTCGTGTTTCTGCCCTTTGCACTGAACCTAACACCCCTGCACTGAACTTTAAGAGGATCTTGGTGGTATTCCTAGCACTTATTTTACATGGAGAGGAGAAAACATTTGGGTATATACCCATGTATTTCTTTCAATCATCCTTTCTCTGAAATACCAGGTAAGACTGTTTGCAAAATCAGGACCTTTAAAAAGTGTTTTGGACAATGAGGGGGCTGGGCTGGGTTCTGTTAAACCTACAGGCGAATTGAGCTATTAAATATTATTGCTGGCTTGAGGTTTAGCAACTAGTAGTTGGGCAGCTGTCTTTGATGCTGTTAATAAATAATTACCTTTCCAAATCTCAGGACTTGTATCTATATTAGGATATTAAATTCTGAATTAAGCATATGGATTGATATTTGGAATTACTAAATTTTATTTATATGGCACTGAAAGGCTTAAGTTCTGCAGCTGTTTCAAATACAGCAGTTTTCATTAAAGTTAGTATTGAATGCTGAAGTTTGAGGTGTAGACCGAAAAGATAATTGCCCGTGTTTACAATGTCTAGGTTCTGACAGCCGGGACCTCTTGAGTTTCCAAGAGGTGCGGTAGAAGCTTAGACATTCAGCCCAGTTTGCTTCGATACTGTTAATTCAATATCAGCAGTTTGTTATGAGGTGGTGCTTTAGAAATCTAAATGCAGTGTTTATGCAAGCTTTATGTGACAGATGCATCTTCACTGCAAACAAGTAGGATTGCAACATGTTTGGACACCCTTCTAGCTTTAATCTTGCTTGATAAGTGCAGATGTAGTGGCAAGGGCTCACTGTGGTTTGGCAACCTGAACAAATGCGTAGGTTCCCAGCAGGCTTGATGAGTTTCAGCCACCATCTCTTTGCTGCAGGAAAGCAGGTGAAGCCAGCATGCATATGCCTACGTGTGCAGCAGTCACATCTCCAGCTGCCTTGTGGGCTCGCTTCTTGGAAACCTGGAGTGGCCATGCAAAAACGTCAGTGCCAGAGCTGACAGACAGGGCATGTATGTGTGCTTGAGCCTCTCTCTCTCCAGCAAGAAAAAACAAAAAAGTTTCCGCCAGAGGCTGTCCCTTTGGGATCTAGAGAGGTTCCATACTGTGTGTCTGGGTTGAGTTTTGTTCTATACTGAATCCATTCAACTCACTTTAACTAACTGCTCCTACTTGTGTATAATGCAAGTGGCCATGAAATATTGACCATGGTTTAACAAGGCAGATTTGCCAGTGATACCTTGTGCTCATGGGCTTTCCTTTTAAATGCTAAATTATAAAAAAGAGTCTTGGAGTTGCTTGTGGTTTCCATGCGACTGTGCTAGCAGTGCAGTGCAGGAAGAAGCAGGATGGAGAAAACAAGCTTTCAAAACTTGAACGCAGGGAACAGCCTTGCACTCTGGCTCTGCTTCTCAGGAGCAGTGATTGACAGAAAGAGGAAATCATGAAAGTCCGGAGAATAAGTAAAGAGGCACCCTAAAAGATCAGTACAGGGTCCCATTCCCCTGCTGTGCCGTCTCGGAGCAGAGCTGGACTACAGTGTCAAAGCAACCAGTCACAAAGAAAGACCACTTCAGTGTATTATTATGTTGCTACATCACATTATCAAAGATCCTTCTATATTGTTATTTACAACTGGTTTTTTAGCTAAACACATTTTTAAGGTTAAATGTTTTATTGCAAAACACTGTATTTCACCATCCCTTCAAGGAAAGCCACAGACAAAGCACTGGTGAGACCACAGATAGGCCAGCTTTTCCATTTTTTGCTTAGACTGGATAATGACTGAGAGACATCTACAAACTAGTGACACCCAACAGGAACTGTAAAATGTTAGTAGATAGCATTCACATCTGTGTGGCTTACAGAAAACTTACGTGATCTTTGCCACAAGACTAGAGATGCGCTGAAGCGTGAGATGATACAAGCCACAAAAGTAAGCCTCAGCTAGGCCTACTTTATTCCACTTCTAATTTCAAATGTTTTACTGCAGTTACTGGTACTTATTTTAAGACAAATGAAGTCCCAAAATTAGTTGTATTCTCTTGCTTGAAATAGGCCTCTATACAAAAGCAATCTCTCAAAGAAACGTCTGAAAACTACATGGTCCCCATTACCTTTATGAGTTTCAGTGGCCCAACTTGTATTCACTGTTAGAAAAAATGGAACTTGCTAAACAAGGGAATTAGAGTAAAGGAAAAAACTGGGCCTCGCCTCATTTGGGGTGCATCCTGCACGCAATACTTGTAAACAAATATGGTTATCAACCTCTGAAGTGTGGTTTGTTTGTTTTTTTTACTAGCTTACATGAGCAACCCAGCCTGCCGAAAAAACGCTTTTCAAATCTCTCCTTCCTCTTTTCAGAATTTCTGCTTTAGGGGGGAAATTTAGACCTTACTGTTTCTTTAAGGAACCAAAACTGCAGTTTTTACTTATTCATCCTGTTGAATTGAGTAAGAAATTTGGATGGCAGCACTTGGTTCCAAGTCCGCAGCGTTGGCGTTTATATTTATGCCATATACAATAAACTGTCCCATGTATGCATGAGGAATTCAAGGTCATCTTGTTTGGTTTACCCTCAGTTTCTAGATTGAGGGTGGCTAAAAAAAGAGTACATTATGTACATTATGTACAGAAACTTCTTTAAAACATAATAAAGTTCATTTTAAATGGTTCAAACTTTTAAAAAGTGGTTGAGTATACAAAAATAGGGCAAGACAGACAATTTGTTGTAAATACTGTACATTCTTTTTGCTGCTTGTATTGGACTAATATCAGATGTAAAGCAATTTACAGGCAAAGAATATAGTCAGTGATTTTTGTTTGTTAGAAGATAATTCTGCAGTGCATCTAGTCAGTCTAGGAACATTTCTGTAATCAGCTAATCACAGCAGAAACATCTGAACACATCAGCCAAAAAACACTTCTGGAAAAATATACAGGTGAGAATACCAGTCTTTACTTTTACGCACTGCTTCCTACGCAGCAGCACAGACTTCAAAACATAGCCGTGTTGGTCTAAGCACACAAGCAGACAAGGTTCTTTGGGTAAATGTGATATCTTTTGTTAGACCAACTGAATAGTTGGAAAAAATGTTCTCAGGCTTGTAAAGAGCAATTTTTCCAACTGTTTAGTTGATCTAATGAAAGAATCAATTTAAGGCATTTTTGTCTTGATGCCATGTTCTTCTGAATGAATGTGGTACAGTGACCCATGTAGCCTTGAAGGAACTTTGTTTTATCTCAGTCATGTTCTTAATGAAGGTTATATGAAAAAAAAAAAAATTAGTCCAGTATTTACACTTACTTCTTATCAAGGCAGCCTAAGCAGACATTCAAGTAGTTTGGACCCAAATTATGACCTATATTGACATTCTAATTATGTGACAGTATAAATTCATGATATTTTTGTAATGGTCAACATTTCTGCTGAAGTTATATAGTAACTTTATAATCCACTTAGTGCTGAGGCGTAAGTTAAAATCCAGATCCAAATTACAATTTGGAGATGGGTGAAAAGCAGGAAAAATGTTTAAAATTATTATGTCGGTTTTTTTACATAACTGGTCATGTCACTTTTCATTCCACTTTCAAGTGAGACAAACTGTGTAAAGTCTATTGTGAAGGCAAAACTCCTGTGATCAGTGTTTCTCAACCTACCCATGTCAAATTCCACAAGTCCCTTGCTTGAAGAAGTTAGATTACATTGCCTGGGTCCAGTTCTCTTACTGTCACACGTATCCTATTTTCTCAGCTGCAGCAATGTCCCTCTTTATATTCAAGTTTTGTGAAGATGTTCAAGCATTTTAAGAAAGCAGTAGTAACCACAGCCAAACCACTGTCCTTCCAGTGTTCATGTGGCAGTTACTGACTACTGTTGAGTAAAAAAGATTCCTATAATGGTAGGTTGTAAATAAAAAGCACTTTTGGGAAGAGAGAATTACAGATGCCTTCCCAATCATAGAACAAGCTGATATCTGCAAGCTCATCAGGTCTCTCCGGATAGTTCACTATCTGCTCAGAGTAATAAAAACAAAAAAAAAATTTTAAAAACCCTGGAATCACACAAACTGATCCTAAAAGTTTATGAATGGTTGCATTTTAATAGCTATTTCTAGGATTGCAATAGCACTCCCTACCTTATTAAAATAATTTCTCTTTAGAATTTTATTAAAGGAAGCTAATTTAAAACGCAGACTTTTAGCACAAGTTCTTTCTGATATTGGACTCAGTAACTGGTGGTTGTTTACATAAATTTCTCCCCTAAGTTTTTACTTCTACAATTAACATGTCCTAAGATTCTCTCATTAAGCCATGTACAGTTATTCAGAGATATCAATATACAACACTGACCATAATTCACAATACAAGAACATGGTGAAACCTCATTCTTGATAGTAGCAGAGGTTTCTGTACCTATTCTACATTTGTCTCTAAGAGACGATTTGAAAGACAGCCAAATGTAAATATTTCATAACATATTAGCTATAGTGCAACTAAAGTAAAGTGGCAGTGCTCTGTCATTCTAGGTGTACAGTATGTAAACTATGGTATCTTCAGTATGTAGTAACGTGTCAAGAATAATAAATGTGTTAATGCAGATTCTGTATTGTTGTCTACCAGAAGTGTAAACTACTGAAAACCTGGCCTTGCTGATACAAGACAAAAATAAAGTAAAACTGCCCGTCTTTATATTACAGAATTGCTTTTGTTTTCTTTTGTTAAGATTCTTCTTTGGAAGTGTCATTTGTAATTTTTTTATTTTGAATTATAAAACAAATTAATCATTCTAGAAATGGAATCCAACATCTGCATTTCTGCCAGCAATTTAAGCTGGTCAGCTTTGAAGCCACTTTTGTTGCTTATTTTCCCAGCATGGATGCTGAGGCTGCATCCAGACGAGCGCAAACATTTGTTTCCCCAGGGACAAGCAGCAGCAGCACACCTTGTCTTACTGCTGTTCATCCCCAGGGAATGCCCATACCATGCGGGCTCCAGCTCGTGGCAGGTTACCCCCCGTGTGGTTGGAGAGCCTGGGGCTGGCAACTGTGCTGGCCCCAGTAGCCTTACCTGGGGTCCTGGGAGCCTCTGGGAGCTGCAGCCACAGCTCTCCTGCAGCTGGGAGCATGGCTCCAGCTGGCCAAGCTCTAGTTTTGGGTGAGGTGCTGCCACTACGTACACCACCCTGCTTTTTTTTGGTGTGGGTTTTTTTGACCCTGGGATCTCCGGTGACATCCCTGTGTCAAAAAAAACCCACACCTGGTGCTGCAAGGTAGCAGTGCAGGGAACACCTACATGTGTCATGTATGGCACTGCAGACTGATTTGGGTGCCACATACCACACATCCGCACCCATCTGGACGCGGCCTGACAGGTGAAAGGATTTTTCTGCATTACAAATATAAAGTAACTTCACTGAGTGAACTGAAGAGACGCTAGATCTACTCCAGTGCAATTGAGGTTTGAGTCTAACTTTCTGTTGAAGAGTCATAATGCCTGACTCCTAAACAGCACTCCTGTTTTCAGAAATGCAGGTCAAAAGGAGTTATTAGGGCTGAATGGATTAAACTAAAAAAGCAGCTTTAAATTTAGTATGTGCAGAAGATGAGATCTATCTCCTGAAGTGGGCTGACTACTTGTTGAAAAGAGAAACAGACTGTAGTTGGGTCTAGGGTCTAACTTTGTCCAAAGTTTTCACGGTCACTTTTTCAGGAAGGGGCAATGGCTGCTTCTTGGGGTACCATAAAACCTAAGAGGGAAAATTTCTAGGGAGGAAGCAGCAGGTGCTAATTGCAGCCCACTGTTGTGAGATGGGTAGAGCTGGGAGAAGATTGCTTGCAACATTATCTCCACAGTTCGGTTATCTTTCCTCAGACAATTGCCATTTCACAGTTTTGCAAACCTCATCTTCAATACTTTCTACAATGTCATTCAGATCAATGGGGAGGCACCAGATTTAGAGAGAATATTACAAGCTAACATAGGATCAATGACAGGTAAGTGAAGTGTTGGTCAGTAACTGTTGCCAAAACATGCTCATTTCACTTGAAGATACACTGTGCACTGCAATCAGGTGTCTATACTTACAGATGTAAAAATTAATTTTGTATTAAAAAAAAGAGTTGTATGCCATCAGGAATATGGACATGAACTTTTAATATATTTAAGCAAATGCCAACATAACCATCTTCAAACTTTACGGGTTTGACATGACCCATCATTTTTTTTTTTTTTTTTTTTTTTTTTTTTTTTTTTTATAACCTGACCTAGCTTCTTCTATAATATGTAGCCAAGTTCACTACAGTAAGGGGGATATGCCTTAAATAGATACTCATCATGAGAGATGAGTTAGTTATAGTTTTCTGTAAAGCCATCTGTAGGAAAAGTTATCAATTTGAAGATAACCAGTGAAAAAGTCATCTGAGGAATGTAGTTTTAGAAGAGACTACTAAGTTGCCAGTGTTGATGAAGACATCAAGAGCCACCTTTATGAGCAATCTAGTGTTCGGACAAAATTCAGATACCCATCTAAGTGCCATGATTGTTTTCAAGGTAAGGTTATGTCCATAAAATACTGACAGATTATGTCACTACAGAGAATGCTTTCATCTTCTACTGATATTGCTGCTGACCTGTCTGTCTTCTCTTTCTTGGTCTATTAAGAACAGTAATAGAACCTGCCGTCACCACCAGGATTTTTAAACCCTCTGTGTTATTCTACTGGCTTGCCTTTCTCCCATCTGCATAGGCCTTGGAGGTACCAAAATAATAAAAAATACATTTTTATTTTTATATTTCAAACTCTCCTGCAATGTGAAGAGAAAGTTCTGTTTTACAAAATGATTCATATTCATAGAAATACATAAATTTTGTGTGTTCCTTCCCAGCACTGGAAGGAAGCATCATCACATACCATGTCACTAGTATGACAGAGTGACAGTACCAAAAAACCTCCATTTTAAGTATTTCATAGACATATTAATCAGAAGCAATTGCAAGATAAATGAATCTGCAACAGAGCTTCAAGGACTTTACAAGTCCTGAGTTGCAAGCTTTGGGAACCAACTTCCTGCTGGAAGAAATACAGATAGAAAAAGCAATAAGTTAAGAATTCAGGTTTTTTGTGTATGTCCTTGTCTGTCTCCCAAGGTAGACAAAAACATAGCACAATATCATGATGTTAAAAGGAAAAAAGTCATACTCATGTGGCTACCTCTGTTATACCCGAGTAAGTGAGTATCTTGAACACCACGAGCACGTCCAGACAAGCCCGCACTTGCTTCTTGCAGCGTCTCAAACCCCTTTGAGACGCTACAAGAGGCACGTGCAGGAACAAGAAAATGTTCCCAGCGCTGCAAATTTGCAGCATGGGGGCAAAATTATACCCCTGAACATCCAGGGTCAAAAAAACCCACACAGAAAAAAAGCAGGGCAACCGGAAGCTGGGTTCTCCATAGAGACGCTCCATAGAGATGCCCATAAAGGCAGGCAGCATGCCAGCAGCACGGAGCTGGACCCAGGCTTCACTGCTAGTAAGTAAGGGTTAGGGGCTGGAAAAGGGGGGAGGGACCGTGGGGGGGAACACCCGCTGGCTCTGCCCACCCAGCCCCACCCCCTGCCTGCTCCCTGAGCCCCCCCCAA